CTCCTCTGCCAAGCCGCCTGCGAAACAAAGATTTTTTATAAATAAATTAATAGATAGATAGTGTAAAAGCAAATTAACGTAGCATTAGAGTAATATCAAGATGTAAAATAGGAATCGAGAACACATATATACCTGCGTTATCCAACTAATCGGAAATATCAAACTTTGGTGCACTTACTGGCCACGGAATCAATTTTGGCATCATAGGGCAATTTATAATTTTCAGACCCTTCAATAAAGGGAACACAAGATCACAGTTCTGAGAGCAAAACATTTGAATACTTGACATATCCCAGAGCAGTAGAAAGTCCAACTTAGGGAACTCAATTCTGGTTTTCATTCCTTCAACTCTTTTGATCTCTGAAGTGCCTTCTTCTTCTTCTTTTCCAACAATCGCTTTAATTGATTCACATTCTGAAACCACTAGTACTTTCAGAGCCACAAGAGAATTGGCCATTGAAGGTGAGAATAAGTATCTTAAGCTCTCACAATAGTCAACTCTAAGATTTGTCAAATTTTGGAAGACGCGAATTCCTTTTGGAACCATCCTTGTAATGTGCACCAATTTTGGTAGTGCGAATAGCCACAATGATGTTAATCGACCAAGCACATTAATTTCTGCATCATCATTAGTGGAATTCATACCCTCAAAGTCAAACAATACTTCAAGTGCTTCACAATCATTCAATTGAAGATCTTCAAGATTTTGCAGTAACTGAATTGAATCAGATTCCACAATGGTCAGCAATTCATGACAATTCGACACCATCACGGCTCTTAGCATAGGCAGAGATATTTCCTTGCCTAGTAGCTTTACTATACAACCCAACCCGTGAACAGTCAACTCCTCCATGTGAGGAAAGTTGACCTGCGATGCGAAGTTCAATTGAATTAGTTGTAGTCAGCCAAACTTTATCCATTATGCTATCTATATAAATGAATTGCGGAAAGCTATGTCATTCTATACAAATTGTATCTATCTGTTCAATTGTTGACTAAATAGAAATAATTCTGAATTTCCCCTTTCATTATTACCTAATGTAATCTCGATATTTTAGCTCCAAAATTTACGCCCATCTTTTTATTTCTAAGTTTATATGGTTAATGATTGGAAAATCATCGGGATTTCCAATTTTGAATCACCGAGAGTTCTACTAAATGTTTCTGTAATTTGTATGTAGTTGATTGGAATCATGAAAAGCTATAATTATTAGCTTAAACAATCTATGAGTTAATTTTGTGCTACAACCGTATTGTTTCTTCTAAACTTAACCCATGTTTAGTTCAATTGATTAAAATTTAAATCAAATTCAATAATTAATTTTAACCACATTCCATGAGACCCACAACTTATCAACCACATATTTCATTAATTTTACTCAAAATATGCCATGTTTGGTATAGCTAAAATCTACTAAAATTCAACTTATCAATCACACATTTCATTAATTTTTATCAAACTATACTCAAAATATGCCCATGTTTGGTAGAACTAAAATCGACTAAAATTTTGATTTTGAATTCAATCTCTACATATTTTTTTTATCTAAACCAAACAGGGGCTTAGGTTTTGTTAAAGATTTCACTCTGAGTAATAATATTTGTAATCATAAAATTCATTGATTTGTAATAAATGACCATTCTAATATTTTTGCTCCACTGTTTATGATTTGTTCATTTGGATCACATTTTCGAGTATATCTCATTTTCAAAATGTCTTATTCTTCAGATTTGATACAGACGAACTAAACACACTTTATGACAAATAAGGACTCTTTGATGCACATAAAATTAGGAAAGTTGAATGCCATACCTGATTGAACAACGTTTGATGAACGACACCGCTATTTGATTGAGATGTGAAGCTCTTAAAGCTACTCAAATTCTCCAGCTTGACATCTCTCAGTTTTGGAAACTCGAGCATTTTGCAAGTTTTGGTAACTTCATTTTCTCGTGCGTCCGTTGAAACAACTTCCTCTAACATCGGGCATTCGTCTATGGATAGCCTTCGGAGATTTACCAAGTTGTTTGCAATTGACTCTGGAAACAAGCTTCTAATTGCATCACAATAAGACAACTTAATGCTCACAAGGTTACAGAACAATTGAGGTTTGATGACACCCCTTGGAAGATTTCCATTGCATATCTCTATTAACTTGGGTAAATAATTCAATTTGAGAGACTCCAATTTACCG